AGTAAAAGGTGGTAAAAGATAGTATAGAACAATACAGGCCTTTAGTGCGCAGCACGCCTGAATGATCACTGGAATACATGTATTGAGTGTGTCAGTGTGTAGGTGACAAAAAATTTGGTTCAGTTCAGTTAGGCAATCAGTTTGGTTTGGCACTTCGGCAATTCAGAACTTCGGTAATTCGGACACTAACCCCTAACCCTAACCCCAAACTCCTAACCCCTAACCCTAAACCCTAACCCTAAACCCTAACCATTTATTTTGCCACTTTTCAGAAATCTGAAGCACTTCTGAAGAGCTTCGGCAATTTGGCAATTCAGAACTTCGACAATTCGGTTCAGTTCGGCAGTTCGGAAAATTGGCAATTCTGCAATTCGAACTTTGGATATTCATAAGCATTCAGATGTCTGATTTGCACAAAATTCGTCTGAATATACATTCAAAACGAAACGAATTACACGTCTAGCAGGGGACATGCTTTTTCAAACACAAATCTTGTGTCTTGTGACCATTCTTTCCAAAGTTTACAGTAATGGGGCTGATATTCTTATTCATTGGGTTGGCTTTTTCCACTACCATCATAGTGTAAGGTTGTAAATACAATAGCGGTAGTGTATTAGGGGTGAGATTAGTTTTCTTGTTCACCACCCTGTGGGTCCTGTGTAAAGGGTCACAGCCCACTGGTGTATCTCAGGAACATATTTAATGTGCAATAAATCCCTTTCAGGCCGCACAAGACTTTAAGTCAGGAGAAGCTGAGAAAAGAATCCATTGGATGCAGTCCTCTTTATATCTGGTAATGCTAGCCAAAAACAAAGATTTTTAAGAAGGTACATCAGCAAAAAAAATTTATAACTGGACAGAGCTTTAGCTTTAACTGGACAGAAATCAACATAATTAAGTATGCATTTAGAATATTTGACAAATATTAGTTTATATGTTTCTGTCTATGTAAACTTTTTTTCTATACATTTACAGCAAACTTTTAAATCTATGATCAAATCCAGTTCACTTAAAAGAGTAAAAAAATCTCAGTTTTTACAAAGCCACACTGTTTGTACTTTTAAAAGAAAACACACACACAAAAAAACATTCATTTGTGATTATAAATGGCAATGGCAATTGCAATGGTGCAATGGCCTTGTAAAGAGAAAAGCTAATGCAAAATATGAAAAACACTTTACATCAGACAGCACTGCAACACATGCTGCGTGTGATAAGAAAAAAAAAAAGAGATGCACTTCCTTAAGTATACAATGATGCTCTTCTGACAAATATTAAAGTATTACATTTCTGGTACCTATCAGATGGAAGGTTCATCTCTATATGACCCAAAACTCTATCTATAGGACTGACAGCTTCACAGTAGATTTTTTTTGTTTTATTTTTTAATAAGTAAAGCTGGTCTTTAGCGGGTATGTATATGGTGGGATTTAACATTATTCATCTCAGGTGATTCTTGCCATGGTTCTTGACATTAAAAGACCAGGGGACTAGACAGCCTGTGGTCCTGTAATGAGTGAACAGGTGCAGAAGGATACAACAAAATCTATGATATATAACACGGACACTCCCAGTTCTGAGGTAGAGTAAGTGGTAAGGAATATTACCTTGGCTCATACATTATTATGTATTCCATGACCCTTAACAGCATCAGGTTCATTAAAACTCTTGGTTAATAAAACACCTGCATTTGGAAATAACTATTTAACATGTCCAGCTTAGTTTATAGGGGGATCTCTATAAACTATGCACTATAAATTTGTCTTGCGTTCATACAGCGCAGCCCTTACCCTTGCTAAACAGTCCCACTTTTCTTCTCTCATTAGTGCATGCTCCCACAAACCTAGGCATCTCTTTAAATACTTTTAAATCTCTTCTTCACCCTGCTGTGGCCACCCCACAAACTAATATTTCAGCTGATAGCTTTGCATGTTACTTTACTGACAAGATTAAACAGTTAAGGAATGAATTCTCCCTCCTTCTCCCCTCTCTATCTCAACCTCACTTGGACCATACCATCCCTTCCCTCCAAGACTTCTATCCACCTACTGAACAGGAGGTGGGTGCGCTTCTCCTTTCCTCTAGTACCACCATGTGTCCACTTGATCCTATCCCATCCCACCTCATCAGATCTCTCGCCCATTGTCTGGTGCAGTCGTTAATGCACATGTTCAACTGCTTTAATTCTTCTGGTGTTGTCCCAGCTCCCCTTAAACATGCTACTGTTGTACCTGTCCTCAGAAAGCCATCTCTTGACCCTACCTCCCCTTCCAACTATCGTACCATATCCCTGCTCCCTTTCTCCTTAAAGCTTTTGGAAAGACTTGTCTACACCCGACTGACTTGTTTCCTCAATTCCAACTCTCTCCATGACCCTCTTCAGTCTGGATTCCGCCTCCTCCACTCCACAGAGACTGCTCTGACTAGAGTTACAAAAGATCTAATTGCTGCTACATCCAAAGGCCACTACTCCATACTAATTCTTCTTGACCTCTCTGCTGCCTTTGACACTGTTGATCATGGTCTCCTTCTGTTAAACTCTTTAATCTCTTGGTCTCTGTGACACATCCCTCTCATGGTTCTCCTCCTATCTCTCCTAATGCTCCTTCAGTGTCTCTTTTTCTAACAACACCTCCTCTACTTGTCCTGTCTCAGTCAAAGTCTCTCAAGGTTAATTTCTTGGTCCCCTTTTGTTCTCTCTCTATACTGAGTTTCTAGGCAAACTCAATTCATTTGGATTCCACTATCACCTGTACGCTGGACACACCCAGATATACCTCTCCTCCCCTGACCTCTTCCCTGCTGTCCTACAACGTGTCACCAATTGCCTTTCTTCTAGCTCTGATTGGATTTCCTCCAGCTTTCTGAAACTCGATCTCTCTAAAACTGATTTTCTTATTTTTCCTTCTCATAACACTGATCCTCCTCCTTCCGTCTCCCTGCAGGTTGACGGTAGCTGCCTCACCCTATCCTTTCAAACGCATTGTCTGTGTGTCATTTTTGATCCTGGCCTCAACTTTGCACTTCATGTCCAGTCTGTTGCTATAACCTGTCAATTTCAGCTTAAAAACATTGCCCGCATTATGCCCCTTTCTTACGCAAGGTGCGTAATCACATGGATTACTGTAAATCTCTCCTAATTGGTCTCCCCAGAAGCGGTACTGCCCCCTACAATCTTTCTCTCCTGTCACTCATCTTACACCTCACCCATCTGTCGATCCTTACACTGGCTTCCTTTACCCTACAGGTGTCAATTTAAAATACTAACCCTTACCTATAAAGCTCTAACCAACTCTAGCCCCTCTTACATTTCTTCACTGATTCATTGGTATGGCCCCTCTCAGTCCCTCCGCTCTACTGGTGACCTTCTCCTGTCTGCTGCTCGCACTCACTGCAAATTCATGCCTGCAAGACTTCTTACGGGTGACTCCTTTCTTTCGGAACAGTCTGTCAAACTCTCCCCCTAGTCTTCAATCCTTTAAAAAGTCCCTCAAAGCCCATCTTTTCAGAAATGCTTATGGCCTTCTATCTCTCAAACCTTTCTTTTGCTCTCTCCTAAAAGGCCACACTCCAATCTCACATCCAGTTCTACTACTTTCCCACCATGTCTGTTTGCTGTCTCCCTCAATACCCTTCCTATTGTGTTTTTATACCGCACCTCCTCTAGACTGTAAGCTCATTTGAGCAGGGTCCTCAACTATCTATTGTTCCTGTTACTTTTTTTTGTCTCATTGGGTAAATTCCCCTCTTATTGTAAAGCACTGTGGAATAAGCTGGCGCTAAATAAATGCCAATAATAATAATAATAAACCAGCTGGGCTGGTTGTTGCTGTCTACTTTAAAAATTAGGGTTGAATATTTTAGTGCCTTTGGTCAATACTCTAGAATGAGAGAATTCATAGTGAATGCTTTAATTTAAAATTCTGTAGTAGAATGTTAGGTATTGATTGTATAGAAGGAAGTATCAGCAAAAAAAACTAAATATCAGATGATATAAGTGTAAGTAAACATAAAAAAGCAAACTGTTCTCCCTACTCCAATAACCTACTAGCAGCAACGCAAACATACAAACATTATAACATACAATACATATTGGTCTTATCTTTATAATGCCTATTCTTTCTCTTTTATTTCCATGTGACATTGATGAGAAGACTGTGGGAAATGCATGTGAGAGAGGGAGAGATGCTCCTGAATAGTGGAGCGCAGCGTTATGTTCCAAGAGGAATGCCAATTTCAGACCCCACACATCACGTGCAAAGAGGGGTCGGCCGTGGTTGGACACAATGTTGTGTTCCAGCGTAAGCGCACAGCGACGGAAATACGCCACAAGTACACATACCCCATTTCCAGTCTACACAGATGAAACCAGAAACTCCTGTTGGTGCCAATTAAAGAATATTTAAAAGGAACAATAAACTATACACTTCAGCAACTGAGGAAGCCTCCAGGAGAGGCAAAACACATTTTGCTACAGAGAGACGTTGCTTAAGACTGTAACGATTCTTTATTTTATTTTATATATCCACTTTGTTTTTACTTCTTTATTGCACTTTATGAAAAATAAAGCATCTGATTTACTACAAACGAATGCTGGTGGATTTATAACTACAATCAAAGGAAGCAGTTTCCAGTACATATTGAAGAGGGAATAGGACCCCACAAATCCTATCCAGCTTACATATTCAGCTTAGTAATTACTGGCTCTCCCTTTGTGAGTGTACCATTTATGTATTAATAGATCCAACACTCGCTTAAGACAATATTGCACTAGCATTTTGCCTTTCTTTTTGTCCCCACTTATAGGATCATATAC